GCTATCAAAATGCACTACATTTATTGAATTTTAACCCAATAGTGATGGGTGAAGAAAACAAAAAAAAAAACTACAGTCTGGTAAACCATGGCAGCGCGCCGACCTTGAGCACAGGAGTTTGGTACATCAGGCCAAATCAACGGCTCGCTGCGCTTTGGCATGCCGCCGGTGATTCGAGCGGTTTGTTTTCACGCCAATCAGCATCACCCGTCATGAAGGGGTTAATACTCAATTATCTATTCTTCAATCCATAATACTAAAGTAATTATAACTCCAAAAGACACTACCAACCTGTTCAAAGTTCTTAATAAGATCCTTGTACTTGAGGGCTAAGTTGGATTCCTTCTGGAAGGCTACGCTGTATGTCGATACCAGGTTGGTCTTGAACTCTCGCAACGACTGGCAGAACATCTGGTCAACAAGGGAGTCCTTGCGGTCCCTTAGCCGAACACTTACTTCCAGGTCGCGTGTGGGTGCCTCACGAGAGAAGCTGCGATCCAAGCTCTGTGTGCGTGTATCTGACTTTTCACTCTCCTTCTCTTCCAGTTGGTACAACTGCAGAGTAATGAGGTAAAGTGAGGTTGTGGGTAAAGCAAAGATACTATTACTTTTAATAATGGAGTTAGATACATTCAAGCAAAGAAACGAACCAAGAGAAAGTGAAACCCTTGTAAACCCCTACAAGGCATTGTCCTCACCTTTCGTGTGATGAACTCCTCAAGCCTTCTGAGCTCGTCTGCATCCTTAATGACCTCATCTGACTTGTCAATAAACTCTGATGTTCGAGTGACATTCCAGTTGTCCTCCTGCTCAAGTCTCCTGGGCTTCTTGCTGGACGGGCTAGCGTTCTCCTTGCCAACACCTGACACTTCCTGGCAGCCGATAGTGAGGGAGGCCTCAATGCAGCGTGGGTGGAATACCTTCTTACAACCTGGAGGGTAGAAGGAGGTGGATTGAAAGGTGAGGAGTCATGGTTAGCCTCATATAAAAGTATGAGGGAAATAACCAAAACATTGATAAAGATTATAGTAATAAATGAAATGATATTTCATTATAGTATAAGAACAATCATATATATTAATAATAATGATTATAAATATAAACTGAATAAATATCACACCATCTTACCTAAACACTTGTAGCCTGTATTGATGAAGAAGCCCGTGAAGGGTTTGTCACATGCAATGCACACTTCCTTCTTCAGCAATGCGGACTGCTTAAGCGTATGCGGACTGCTTGCCAGGATGCGTTTCAGGGCATCTGTATCCCCCCCAACCACAGCCAGCGGCAAGGAGGCTGCTCCCTGCACTCCACCTGGCTCCATGCTGAAATTCATTATAACCGTTGTGAATTTTTTTTCCGTGTTGAAATTAATTTATTTTTGTAGATTTTTCCCTAAATCTAATAACTGATATGGAGATTTTTTTTACATTAATTCCCAGACGGAATGCTAGTAAACAATTATAAAAACTGTAGGATTTTTATTTAAAGATCCCCCCCCCCCCCCCCCCCCCCCCCCCCCCCCCCCCCCCCCCCCCCCCCCCCCCCCCCCCCCCCCCCCCCCCCCCCCCCCCCCCCCCCCCCCCCCCCCCCCCCCCCCCCCCCCCCCCCCCCCCCCCCCCCCCCCCCCCCCCCCCCCCCCCCCCCCCCCCCCCCCCCCCCCCCCCCCCCCCCCCCCCCCCCCCCCCCCCCCCCCCCCCCCCCCCCCCCCCCCCCCCCCCCCCCCCCCCCCCCCCCCCCCCCCCCCCCCCCCCCCCCCCCCCCCCCCCCCCCCCCCCCCCCCCCCCCCCCCCCCCCCCCCCCCCCCCCCCCCCCCCCCCCCCCCCCCCCCCCCCCCCCCCCCCCCCCCCCCCCCCCCCCCCCCCCCCCCCCCCCCCCCCCCCCCCCCCCCCCCCCCCCCCCCCCCCCCCCCCCCCCCCCCCCCCCCCCCCCCCCCCCCCCCCCCCCCCCCCCCCCCCCCCCCCCCCCCCCCCCCCCCCCCCCCCCCCCCCCCCCCCCCCCCCCCCCCCCCCCCCCCCCCCCCCCCCCCCCCCCCCCCCCCCCCCCCCCCCCCCCCCCCCCCCCCCCCCCCCCCCCCCCCCCCCCCCCCCCCCCCCCCCCCCCCCCCCCCCCCCCCCCCCCCCCCCCCCCCCCCCCCCCCCCCCCCCCCCCCCCCCCCCCCCCCCCCCCCCCCCCCCCCCCCCCCCCCCCCCCCCCCCCCCCCCCCCCCCCCCCCCCCCCCCCCCCCCCCCCCCCCCCCCCCCCCCCCCCCCCCCCCCCCCCCCCCCCCCCCCCCCCCCCCCCCCCCCCCCCCCCCCCCCCCCCCCCCCCCCCCCCCCCCCCCCCCCCCCCCCCCCCCCCCCCCCCCCCCCCCCCCCCCCCCCCCCCCCCCCCCCCCCCCCCCCCCCCCCCCCCCCCCCCCCCCCCCCCCCCCCCCCCCCCCCCCCCCCCCCCCCCCCCCCCCCCCCCCCCCCCCCCCCCCCCCCCCCCCCCCCCCCCCCCCCCCCCCCCCCCCCCCCCCCCCCCCCCCCCCCCCCCCCCCCCCCCCCCCCCCCCCCCCCCCCCCCCCCCCCCCCCCCCCCCCCCCCCCCCCCCCCCCCCCCCCCCCCCCCCCCCCCCCCCCCCCCCCCCCCCCCCCCCCCCCCCCCCCCCCCCCCCCCCCCCCCCCCCCCCCCCCCCCCCCCCCCCCCCCCCCCCCCCCCCCCCCCCCCCCCCCCCCCCCCCCCCCCCCCCCCCCCCCCCCCCCCCCCCCCCCCCCCCCCCCCCCCCCCCCCCCCCCCCCCCCCCCCCCCCCCCCCCCCCCCCCCCCCCCCCCCCCCCCCCCCCCCCCCCCCCCCCCCCCCCCCCCCCCCCCCCCCCCCCCCCCCCCCCCCCCCCCCCCCCCCCCCCCCCCCCCCCCCCCCCCCCCCCCCCCCCCCCCCCCCCCCCCCCCCCCCCCCCCCCCCCCCCCCCCCCCCCCCCCCCCCCCCCCCCCCCCCCCCCCCCCCCCCCCCCCCCCCCCCCCCCCCCCCCCCCCCCCCCCCCCCCCCCCCCCCCCCCCCCCCCCCCCCCCCCCCCCCCCCCCCCCCCCCCCCCCCCCCCCCCCCCCCCCCCCCCCCCCCCCCCCCCCCCCCCCCCCCCCCCCCCCCCCCCCCCCCCCCCCCCCCCCCCCCCCCCCCCCCCCCCCCCCCCCCCCCCCCCCCCCCCCCCCCCCCCCCCCCCCCCCCCCCCCCCCCCCCCCCCCCCCCCCCCCCCCCCCCCCCCCCCCCCCCCCCCCCCCCCCCCCCCCCCCCCCCCCCCCCCCCCCCCCCCCCCCCCCCCCCCCCCCCCCCCCCCCCCCCCCCCCCCCCCCCCCCCCCCCCCCCCCCCCCCCCCCCCCCCCCCCCCCCCCCCCCCCCCCCCCCCCCCCCCCCCCCCCCCCCCCCCCCCCCCCCCCCCCCCCCCCCCCCCCCCCCCCCCCCCCCCCCCCCCCCCCCCCCCCCCCCCCCCCCCCCCCCCCCCCCCCCCCCCCCCCCCCCCCCCCCCCCCCCCCCCCCCCCCCCCCCCCCCCCCCCCCCCCCCCCCCCCCCCCCCCCCCCCCCCCCCCCCCCCCCCCCCCCCCCCCCCCCCCCCCCCCCCCCCCCCCCCCCCCCCCCCCCCCCCCCCCCCCCCCCCCCCCCCCCCCCCCCCCCCCCCCCCCCCCCCCCCCCCCCCCCCCCCCCCCCCCCCCCCCCCCCCCCCCCCCCCCCCCCCCCCCCCCCCCCCCCCCCCCCCCCCCCCCCCCCCCCCCCCCCCCCCCCCCCCCCCCCCCCCCCCCCCCCCCCCCCCCCCCCCCCCCCCCCCCCCCCCCCCCCCCCCCCCCCCCCCCCCCCCCCCCCCCCCCCCCCCCCCCCCCCCCCCCCCCCCCCCCCCCCCCCCCCCCCCCCCCCCCCCCCCCCCCCCCCCCCCCCCCCCCCCCCCCCCCCCCCCCCCCCCCCCCCCCCCCCCCCCCCCCCCCCCCCCCCCCCCCCCCCCCCCCCCCCCCCCCCCCCCCCCCCCCCCCCCCCCCCCCCCCCCCCCCCCCCCCCCCCCCCCCCCCCCCCCCCCCCCCCCCCCCCCCCCCCCCCCCCCCCCCCCCCCCCCCCCCCCCCCCCCCCCCCCCCCCCCCCCCCCCCCCCCCCCCCCCCCCCCCCCCCCCCCCCCCCCCCCCCCCCCCCCCCCCCCCCCCCCCCCCCCCCCCCCCCCCCCCCCCCCCCCCCCCCCCCCCCCCCCCCCCCCCCCCCCCCCCCCCCCCCCCCCCCCCCCCCCCCCCCCCCCCCCCCCCCCCCCCCCCCCCCCACCCCACAGCCAAAACTAGTGCGAATAATGATCAACTATGAAGTCTATATAACAGCAAAATATGGCAAATAGAGACCTTAGAAAATAATAATACTGAAAATACAACACAAGTTCTTAGTATTACAAAGAAAAGGCAAGGGATGCTGGTACTGGGCATGAGTGGTCGCGCATTCTAGGGTGAAATTATGAGCCCCCAGCAGCGGGCCCCAGGCCACTATGAATACAACCCGGGAGAGAGGGCTTGCGCATCAAGAAGTCACCCGTCGTCAAAGGGTTAATAATGAAAACAGCGCAGCTGATATTGGACACTTTGGGGCACAATCTTACATCATTTTTCACAACATCCAATAGTTTATTTTCTCCTTTTCTATAATTTGTTTTTAATTACAATTTAGGTATTAATGTTTGGTAACATTTCATCAATGTACAAATAATAAACTATATGCTTGAACAAACCACTGGATATTATGGTGCTGGTCAACATTACACCTTTTTATAATGTATTTCTATGGAATATTGTGTATCACTATCATCTCACAGGTTTCTGATTCAATATTACTAGTGGACATTACCTGCATCTTATTCATAATAAAGTAATTACAGGAGAAAAGTCTATTACTTTTGGACAGGCTCTCTATGAAAAGCAGTAAAGTACACACACTGCATATTTGAAACAATGAACAGAACTTCAGGGGTTAAATCTAAATGATCAATCCCCACACACAGTACGAAATCATCTAAACCCTTAATGTCTCTTTAATTCAAATCCACCCAACTACATCACCTTTGAAAATCCCCCCCCACCCCACAGCCAAACTACCGGAAACAAGCCTTGTACCTGGAAAATCCCTGCACCACATCTGGCAGGCTGGATGAAGGCTTGAGGGGTTCTTTGGCCCTCGGCTCCTCCCCGCGCAGCTCCCACGAGGAAGCTCCTTGCTGGCCACTCCCACTGCTGGCACACCTCCCCTTCACAACTGGGGCAGATACGTCCGAGGAGCTAATCTCTGCCGAGAAGCTGGGCTGGTAGTCACCTGGGCTGGTGGGCGTCTGTGGTTGCGACTCGTATGACATGGCATCCTCACTCTCACTCATACTGCCCTCTCTTTTGCCTGAGAGAGTAAGGAAGAGTATATCAATTTAAGTGCTTAAACATAATTTAATATTTTTAGATATATAAATGCATGTTATATCATTAGAACACAAATGTAAGAAGAAACTGTGGTTGTGAAGTATATGTAGTTTTAGTATTATTGGAAGCTGAGAAAGAAATTGTACACTGTGCTGTTACTGTCTGCTTTAGCCACTTTTTTTTACTTGAAGCAGGGTAAAAGTTATATTCACAGTGACAAAGAACTTTTTTTAACAATCAAGAAATAGAATAACTCTTCTCCAAAAAAACAACAATGTAAATTACACCAACTACAAATCCAGCCAATCTCCATACTACAATAAGATTAATCTATTGGATCCAGGTGCTTCATAGAAATCTTGTGGTTCAAAATAAGGGCATATAATATATATATATATATATATATATATATATATATATATATATATATATATATATATATATATATATATATATATATATATATATATATATATATATATATATATATATATATATATATATATATATATATATATATATATATATATATATATATATATATATATATATATATATATATATATATATATATATATATATATATATATATATATATATATATATATATATATATATATATATATATATATATATATATATATATATATATATATATATATATATATATATATATATATATATATATATATATATATATATATATATATATATATATATATATATATATATATATATATATATATATATATATATATATATATATATATATATATATATATATATATATATATATATATATATATATATATATATATATATATATATATATATATATATATATATATATATATATATATATATATATATATATATATATATATATATATATATATATATATATATATATATATATATATATATATATATATATATATATATATATATATATATATATATATATATATATATATATATATATATATATATATATATATATATATATATATATATATATATATATATATATATATATATATATATATATATATATATATATATATATATATATATATATATATATATATATATATATATATATATATATATATATATATATATATATATATATATATATATATATATATATATATATATATATATATATATATATATATATATATATATATATATATATATATATATATATATATATATATATATATATATATATATATATATATATATATATATATATATATATATATATATATATATATATATATATATATATATATATATATATATATATATATATATATATATATATATATATATATATATATATATATATATATATATATATATATATATATATATATATATATATATATATATATATATATATATATATATATATATATATATATATATATATATATATATATATATATATATATATATATATATATATATATATATATATATATATATATATATATATATATATATATATATATATATATATATATATATATATATATATATATATATATATATATATATATATATATATATATATATATATATATATATATATATATATATATATATATATATATATATATATATATATATATATATATATATATATATATATATATATATATATATATATATATATATATATATATATATATATATATATATATATATATATATATATATATATATATATATATATATATATATATATATATATATATATATATATATATATATATATATATATATATATATATATATATATATATATATATATATATATATATATATATATATATATATATATATATATATATATATATATATATATATATATATATATATATATATATATATATATATATATATATATATATATATATATATATATATATATATATATATATATATATATATATATATATATATATATATATATATATATATATATATATATATATATATATATATATATATATATATATATATATATATATATATATATATATATATATATATATATATATATATATATATATATATATATATATATATATATATATATATATATATATATATATATATATATATATATATATATATATATATATATATATATATATATATATATATATATATATATATATATATATATATATATATATATATATATATATATATATATATATATATATATATATATATATATATATATATATATATATATATATATATATATATATATATATATATATATATATTATTAGGCTTAAATGAGCGGCCGCTCTGACAGGAGTGCAGCTTGTAGGCCGGGCACATGCAAACATTCATGTGCGGTGACAAAATTCTATACCTCCTTTTTGTAATGTTATATTCAATTTTCTGTAGTAAAACTTGTGCCTCTGGTCATGGCGACCAGGAATAGGATATTGAGCACGGAAATGGTGTCCTCCCTGGAGCTGGCACTCTTCCAGTCATGGCTCATAGACACTACATTCCACATTTGTTTATCAATAGGAATAATACAAAAGCCACTTTCTAAACACCAAATGAGTCTAATGACCTTCTAAGAGCTTTGTGCTCTTATAGCAAGTCTTTTCCATCACCCAGCCAAAATGCTTACAATGGCAAGTTCACATAACTGCGGCCCCAGATCACAACCAAAATGCAACCATCATCTCACCCATTATCTTCTTGAAAGGTTTTCTGAACTGCCTTGACAACTTCATGACCCCATGCGAGTCCTGGTGCTGTAGCTGGGAATGTCTGTTCCCGTCCTCCTCTGTGCCACCCGTGCTCGATTTTCTCTCAAGCTGGTTGGAGCTCAGACTCTCTGATGATGCTATTTACAGAAAGGGAAAGGGTGAGTATTCACACGCACACAAAGCAGAACCTTTTCTACAAGGTATTATTTGTTTGTGTTATTTGTGGCAAACAGCCTCACTCTTTCATTCTTTTTTTTTTTTCATGGGAACAGCAGGATAAAGGAAATGAATCAAAACTTTCTGTTAGCAAGGTTAATTCAATTAAATGAACTGCCAGTTAGAGGGATATAAATTTTTTAAACAATGTCCATTCCTCTTCTGATTACGTAAAATAGTCAGTCCACCTATAATCCATGCAAGCCATATCAATGGGATATATATATTATATTATATTATATCATATAATATATATATATATATATATATATATATATATATATATATATATATATATATATATATAATGTATATATATGTATATATATGTATATATATGTATATATATGTATATATATGTATATATATGTATATATATGTATATATATGTATATACGTATATATACGTATATATACGTATATATACGTATATATACGTATATATACATAATTATATAAATACATATATACATATATACATATATATATATATATATATATATATATATATATGTATATATGTATATATGTATTTATATAATTATGTATATATACGTATATATACGTATATATACGTATATATACGTATATATACGTATATACATATATATACATATATATACATATATATACATATATATACATATATATACATATATATACATATATATATATATATATATATATATATATATATATATATATATATATATATATATATATATATATATATATTTACAAACATCAAGTATAATAGAACATCTTTCAAGGACATACCTGACGGAGTAACAGCTGACTGGTTTGCCAGAGGAACTTTGGAATAAGGACGATGTCGGAAGGACTTGGCTTTCACAACTGCTTTCTCTCCATCTGCAATACTTGGTGATGAAGGGGGTGATGGTCCCCCTTGACTATCTTCACTGTGCCGAGTTTGAACCTAAGAGAGAAAAATTAAAACAGATAATAAGTATTAAGAAGAGCATGATCTGTATATGCATATGTATGGATATGTGTGTATATATGTATATGTATACATCTACATCTACATCTACATCTACATCTACATCTACATCTACATCTACATCTACATCTACATCTACATCTACATCTACATCTACATCTACATCTACATCATCTACATCTATATCTATATCTATATTTATATATACACAATCATATACATTGATATATATATATATATATATATATATATATATATATATATATATATATATATATATATATATATATATTTAACTCCATGTCACAAGGATAATGTCAGTTACACCTTGTGACCTTATTTGATTTCTCCTTTCCTTGAATTTGCGGTTAAAAAGTTTTTTTTACTAATGCAATGAAGGTCGATGGTATTATTTTTATTACAGACATTTTAATTACTATAATGTTATTGACATTAGTATCAGTAACATATGTTAATATAAAACATTTTTGGAAATCAAGGAAAAGGGTAACCAGCTGATACAAGTAGTACTCATAATTGGCTCATTGGTGACTTAGTACAAATGGATACATCTGTGTCAAATTAATCAATAAAGTAAATTCACAGTGGGCATGGACTGTAATTCCTGTCAGTTTTGGGTTAATATATATACATATGTACATATATATAAATATATATATATATATATATATATATATATATATATATATATATATATATATATATATATATATATATAATATCATAGATGTGGTTGGAAGACATTACATAGATCTCATTAATTAGAGAAGAGTTGTATGAAAACAGCCTGCCACTTTTGACAGGCCTTATACAACTCTGACAAATAGTACTGCCCACACATTATGCAGAAAGCCAAAGGACGAGAGAGGTTAACTAGTTCACGCAAATTAGATCCTTCCCATGAAGTGGGAGCAAGAGTAAACTACTCTTTCTGTCTTTCTTATTTGCTTTCATTCTTTCTCCCTCCCTCTTTCTCTCACTTGTACCAGGCACTGCTTTATAATGACCACTGATTAAAAGCCCCTCATTAAAAGAAAATGTAAACATACATGTAAGAAATAGTGATAGCTAAGATTCTACATGGTAGAACCATCTAAACACTTTGTATGTAAAAAGTTATTTTCTAAATATTTTCCTATTAACATATCAATGATTTGATAGGATTGTTTAAATCAAAGTAATCTCATGCATTCAAGCTGCAGTTCAAGAATGGAAATAAGCAAACATGTATAAGTATAGGTAATAGTACATGTGTACACCTATATGTTTATATAAATTAACAAACACATGTAGTCTTGGTGAAATAGGAGCCTCACTTGCCTAAGTGTTTATATATCAAATGTTTTTGATTCATAATTTGCTATCAAATCATCATATCATCACAAAGCAAAAAATAATATTACAATCATCAACTAATTTATTTACCTCAAAGAAATGTTGCTGAAAATTGACGACAAAAATCTAAATTTTGTTTTTTTCAAACACAAACTAATTCTTAACATTCTGGTACATGGGTAAGTCAGTGAAGTCTATTGATAAACTATCTTATTGTATCATTACAAGGGCCATAAAACTGTGCAGACAACCACTTTTCGAAAACCTAACCAATTTTATGTTATTCATTTTAGGATTCATTTTTTAGGAAAAAAAAAAACAGAATAAATATCCCAAAAAGCTGACATTATGCTCTACACATACCTTTGATGTTTAAACTGCACTTCTGTCATCTTCTAATGTAAAGATCAAATTAACGTGTTCATGTACCAAGGGACATAGATAACAATTTTGGGGGTCTGGTGTTCAACCCCAGTTGGTGACCACTAACCACTAACTCTAACCACTAACTCTAATACCAAAAGGATCTACACACTGAAAGATACATCACGTATAAAGATTAAGAAAATCTGTAAAACGTTTTTTTCTTAACAACCTTAACCCCTCTCCCTGCAGATTGGTCCCTATAAACTGTAATATTAGTAACAATGGAAAAAATCATTTGAAGTTAACCACACATTCTTACCAAAATTCTCAAATCACTAAATATTTTACCTCTCCTTTACTACAGCTTCTACCTTACCTGGACCACTGTACTTCCATGGGAAGATATTCTCAGGGGAACAGCTGTCTCACTTAGTCTCCTCATTTCCTGGTTGTACGGCTGCTGGCTTTCTGATAGTCTACGCTCACTAATTAGCTGTTCACTTTGTCTTCTGTGTAGTTTGTGGACTGGTGCATTCTATGAAAAAAAAAAAAACAGAATAAATATCCCAAAAAGCTGACATTATGCTCTACACATACCTTTGATGTTTAAACTGCACTTCTGTCATCTTCTAATGTAAAGATCAAATTAACGTGTTCATGTACCAAGGGACATAGATAACAATTTTGGGGGTCTGGTGTTCAACCCCAGTTGGTGACCACTAACCACTAACTCTAATACCAAAAGGATCTACACACTGAAAGATACATCACGTATAAAGATTAAGAAAATCTGTAAAACGTTTTTTTCTTAACAACCTTAACCCCTCTCCCTGCAGATTGGTCCCTATAAACTGTAATATTAGTAACAATGGAAAAAATCATTTGAAGTTAACCACACATTCTTACCAAAATTCTCAAATCACTAAATATTTTACCTCTCCTTTACTACAGCTTCTACCTTACCTGGACCACTGTACTTCCATGGGAAGATATTCTCAGGGGAACAGCTGTCTCACTTAGTCTCCTCATTTCCTGGTTGTACGGCTGCTGGCTTTCTGATAGTCTACGCTCACTAATTAGCTGTTCACTTTGTCTTCTGTGTAGTTTGTGGACTGGTGCATTCTATGAAAAAAACAAAACAATTACTTTAATGGGAAAATACCTTTTAACCCAATGCCACAAGGAAAAAAGTAATGTTCACACTAGTTTTGTTTTGTGAAATGTGTTTACCTATAGAGAGATGGCTGTACAAGTGCTCAACCACAAAGGAATTAACTAGTAGACCTTATGCTCTCACCTGACTTCCCTTTCTTGGATATTTTCAGGAAAAAAATCTTTGTATTGCTACTAATATATCATTATCCCTACAGACAATTATTATAATGCTTAAAAAAAAAAAGTAAATAGACCAATACCTGAACCACGGACGTTGACCGTCTTCGGGGAGGGGGTTGAGCAGGTTCTGACGATTCAACGACAGGGACTGAGGTAATGGATCCAACTGTTGTAACTGAGGTCACCGACAACTCCTCCTCCTCCTTCAGTCTTCTCCGGCCTTCCTCTGCTTTTTGCCGTCTCCATTCCTCACGGAGGATGCGGTACCGTTGCCTTGCTTGCTCTCCCCGTACACAAGCCTACAACATTGTAATATACACATTATAGTTTCCTTAAAGAAATGCATACATTCTTAAATAAATGGTATCCTATTTAACCCAATGGTGCCGGGTGTACAAAAGAAAAAAAAAACTCTACGCTTAAACAAACAAAGGCGGCACGCCGACTTAGAGCGTGTGAGTAGGGGACATCAGCCCGAATCACTGGCTCGCCGCGCTTTGGCGCGCCGCCAGCTCGTTCGGCAGCACGCCAGCTTTCGAGCTCTTTGTTTACACGCCGATCGGCGTCACCCGGCACGAAGGGGTTAACTATTTACAGAAAAAAATAAATCTTTTTTTTTTTTATTTCTGTGTAACAAGAATACTGGAAACCATACTTTCTAATATCTCTAGGTTCCTGTGTTTGTTAAATTATCTCAGTGCATTAGGAGAGAGTAAGTTTAAGATGTATAAATCTAAAATTAGTTATCACATTTATCAACCAGCCCTCTCCTATAATATACATAAGTTACCTGGAATGCAATGAGAGCCCTTCGGAAGTTCTGGTACCACCTGCGGACCTTACTTCCTCGCCACACTTTTTGGATGTAAGTAGCCGCATGTTCCCTAAGCCGCATCTTGGCCAACATTTGTTGGGCTATCCAACAGCGAACGTGTGCCTGTAGAAAATAAGTAGATATTATAAAAACATACAAAAAAGTCTATAAAAACATAAATCCTATTCACTAATACAGTATGTATGAATGGACCTAAAAAAAGAGAAAGAAACATACTTGTACTCTAATCACAGCCGCTCTGAAGGTGAGATAGTGCCTCCGCTGGTGGATCGTCCGGTACCATCTCTGGATCACGATAATGCGTGACAGAATGGTCTGGTGAAGCTGAGAGTCAAGCTTCTGCTTCTGGGATTCTCGCATGAAGATCTTCGTGTGCCCCATCTGATATTCACCTTCATCCAAGTGCATGTTTTGCAAGAATGCTCGCACATCAAGCTGGGAACTGCGGGGAGGAACCCTAATTCAAATATATAAATACTTCTTTGTGCATTTACATATCCATCTACCTATACACTTGATCCATCTTCATTTCTCTAAAAGTGCCGTGCTAATTATTCACATCTATGAAAAACAATTATTTCCATAATAGTCAGAATATTCTATAATGTATTTTCCCCCCATTCACTCATCGTTTCCAATTAAAAAATCTATCTCACCTCAGCAAGCCCTTTGGCAGCAGTATTCGGTAGTGATGAATGAACTCATCGTAGGAGAGCCGGACATTGAAGCCAGCCTGACGAATCCTGACTGTTTCCAGCATCCCAGTGTAGCGCAGTTGCCGTGTCACCATTTCATCTCCAAAAACATTTGGTTCCTTGTGTGCAATAGGAGAATATAATGATGAAATAGCATATGTGTATACAATTCTTGGGTTGCCAAATACAATATCTAACACAAATTCCAACATTCTTCACATTCATAATAAAAACACAAAATCAAATCTCACTTTTCTTTCTGTCCTTATATAAATGAACCTCTCTTAGCAATAAGACGACCTCTACTTTACAAATCTTTCCCTCGGTACAGAAAAGAATAATTTAAAATAAACCTTTCACTGGCGTAAGATGCACAAACAAAATCATGAATTCTCACCTTATTTGCATTGCTCTTTATACATCTTATGAAGAAGGGATTTGCAGTGTTGAGTGCCTCCATGAGTGTTTGTAACGATAGCTGGAACTGTCCTGTTACTGTATGTGGAGGCTTGCGGGATCCAGGAAGACGACCCTTTGGGAAACAGATGCAAATGTTACTTCTAAATGTATAATATATGTACATGTACATAGAAAATGAGTCTGAAAACATACAATCCTATAAACTTCTCACACATTAACACACTATAAAACATCAACGAGAAACAGTCTAACAACATAGGAAGATGTACAGTAATTTCATGCAGTGGTACTTAATGTATACATAAAATTACAATCCTGGGTCATTCATTGTTATAAATGAAAATACTGTAAATACTTCAAGAAAAAAAAAATAAAAACCTTAATACCAACCAGCAAAAATATCATCTATCAAATAAATTTACAAACTCTCCAAAGCACAAATTATTGAAAAAAAAAAAAAAAAAAAAAAAAAAAAAAAAAAAAAAAAAACTAAAAACACATTTGCAAAATCGCACAACTAACCTGTGAGGTGAGACTCTGCGTTCTTTGGGCAAGAGCTTTGACTGTTTTCAGGTTCTTCTGATGTCTTGGGCCATGAGATCTGGATCGCGAACGACTGTGACGAGTCTTGCGCAAGCGGCTGCAAATGTTAACCGATTTGTTTAAAGGGGAAGTATGCT